TTACACATCTCGATTTTAGAAAAGTTCATATAAAAGAGTATGTATAAGATACTGAAGAAAGAACCTTGAAACTAATAAAACACTTTTTAATGTTGCGTCTTTTTAAATATCTAATTAGTTTAATACAATAACATGCAATGGGTCTAAACATACACCATGCAGTAAGTTAATGGAATATAAAGTACAAAATTTCATTAGTTTAAATTTGTGTATTTTCTTTTTAAGAAATCTAATTATCATAAGAATACGATTACATACGTATCACCATATACTAGTAACAATTATTTCATTTCAAATGAATAGTTCAAACTCATAATGCATACCACATGTATTGCAATATACTTATTGTTATTATTTACCAACTTATTTAAGAAACTTTCCCACAAACTGATAGTTAGAATATATAACTTTTTATCATTATAGTTTCAACATACTATTCCATGAATCTTAATTAAACAATACTACGATTCTGAATACCTACCCGTTGAAAGCGATGGAAAAGTTTCGGATTTTCCACCAAGTCCCATGTATATTACTGCAAGTATTCCAAAAAATAAAGCCAGTACCACAACCAAAATTACAGACACCATATTCTGATTGTTACGCATGTCTTCTCTGCTTGTGATTGATGGCTTAAATGTTCTGCCCATTGTTTCTCGAGGTCTGTCAATAGATGTTGTATGCCTTGAACCAAAAATTTTTCACAATTAGAATATTATATAATACTGTGGTATTAACACATTGACAGCCGGCCTCGCGAAAACGCGGGTTTTTGAGTCTGTCGCTTAAGCGCCGGCCCCGCGAAAACGCGGATTTCTGAGTCTGTCGCTTGAGTAGCTGCCCCACGATGATGTGGATTTTTTTTTGCTGGTATGAGTGTCTTATACATCGATTTGTATTTACTTGCCATGGTTATGCCGATCTTCATTTGTCATACTCTAAAGATAAAACGTATACGATTGTTCAGAAACAATCCAGGCAAGAATCACTCTCGAGCAGTGTATTCCGCAAACAGTATATCTTTCGTACACTTATATTTTTGATTGAACAGTATAACAAGTTTTTTTCTTCTGTAACTTTTTACCCATATAATATGAGCCTTGACTTAAATATTAAAACTTTTGTTTTCGGTTTACGTTATATATATGTAATAATCCATCACGAAATGAGAAACTGTATTTTTTTTACAATTATAAATTAAAAATTTCGATTTTGTTTAAATTTTTAATTACCATCAATTTGTATATGAAGAATATGCAAGTAAAATGTACTATTTTACGAAAATATATAATGTTTTAAATATTTCTTTTGGCTATTCAGTGATCAGAAACAAGCGAATAAGACCGGCGTTCGGGGTTTAAAAGTGGCCGATACGTTGCCGGCGCTCAGGCTTTAAATGTCTCTTAGGTCGCCGGCTGTCAATGTGTTAAAATTTACATTAAAATATTTTGCATATACCTTGGACTTGTTGCTGAGTATAATGATCTTGTAGAAGAGAAGTGACCATTTGAATCCTTCTCTTTTAGGTCTGGTAAATTAGTTGTACGGCGTAAATTTGTGCCTAAATAGTAATACAATGAAATGAATGATTATGCAAAATATTAAGAAAATTTATTCTAATTTCAAATAACTTACTTTTTAAACCGGACATAGAGGTAGATGGCATATTGCCTGTAGAAGACCGTGAACTGAGCATTCTCAAAAATTCAGATAAATACGGGGTTTCATAATTTGTCAAAAGCTCTCTTTGATGTGGGTTGTCTTTAATACAACTCTCTTCCTTTGGAGGATGTATTGGGGATAGATTTCCATCAAAAAGTGGTTCACTGCATTTATTGTCTTTTATGGTATGTATAGATCTTGATTTTGAATCATATAATTTTGTAATTGGCTCATGATCGGGTGTACTCTGTTCATATGTTCTAGAGTCATGGGGTTTACCAACACTAGATAAATATTTAGATGGAGAATATCTTCTGTTTACTTCCTCCACAACATCCGAGTCTGATCCTGTTTCTAAGCCATCTGTAATGCTTGATAGTTTATTAGTTTTCACATATTTTTTCTGTGTAGTTTTCGTTACTGTACGAGTTGTAATAGAAGATGAACTATCATAATCAGGTGCTATGGGGTTCTTAAACTCAGGATGTATTGTCTTCTCTTTAACTGCACTTTTTGATATGCTTGCATCCGAAGATGGTATAACTGGTGGTGGAGGCATTGGATTTGCCAAAGTTTGCCGTCGAGCATTAGTTGTTGCCTTTTTCTTTTTTGTGGCTGTTGAACTTGAGTCATCATCAGTATCTTCGCTGCTATATCTAAACGCATGAAAAGTGTGACAAAAACAATAATTATAACACGAATTTCCAACATTATGTAAGAGCATACAACATAAACACAACAAACGAATTTAAAAATATAACACCATCTACATAAACATTATTGCAAATAAGAATGCAAATTATAAAACCGAATCTGTTGTTTGAATAATAAATAGTTTAATTCCATGGAACTGCGGACTGTTTAAAAATTGGAAGGATAAAATTACCTGGCAGCTAATGAATGCCGCGAACCCGAGCCCCGCGCTTCAATCAGACTTTTTAATTTTTTCGCAAGGATTTTTCTGGTGGTGTGTGTCACTGGGCCCACCGGGTACCCGTATTCCATCAGTTTGCTGCGTAACTCCGCATCGCTCAGTGTGTCCACCGACATTTTGTTTACAAAAGAAAAAAAATTCTCTTCTGAAAAGGACCCGGTAAAAAAGTTCCCTCGTGGACGAACCTCCCCGCTAGGCACTCTCGGGAAGCGTGATCAGAATTTTCGCCAAGCGTGCTTCTAGAACGTAATATTCACAACACCATTGGTGTCCACGCGTGCCACCTTTCACGACGTCATAAATGGTTCGCGTAACACTTCAACACTTTGGAAAATAATCTTGGTTAGAACTAAACAAATGGCGCAATTTTCTAACGGTCGCGGTCGCGCGCATACTCATCCACACCATTTCACGCCGCTCAACCCTGTCATCCATAGTCATGGAACAAGGTTAATCGAGATAATCCAACCGGTCCATACACAGAGCACGAACGCCAGAGGCCAGAAACGAAACTTCTGCCAGAACCTTTGATGTTTGCAATTTGTAACTGCGACTCTGCGACTGTAAATTGGACGACCTCGAGCAGCGTTGTCCACGGTAAGGGCCCTTCCAAGTCGTGGTTGGTTGAGAATCGGCGAACAAACGATGCTGCTGTGTTTCGAAGTTGATATTTCTGTCTTTTTCTCTGCGCCACTGTATGAAAAAAGAACAAGAGAAAGTACATACGCGAAATTGGGAACGTTGAAAAGCGCGGCGATGTTTGAAAATGTAATATGGAAGGAAATGGTTTCTTCACAATGTATCTGTGTAATTTGGAACTGCATATTTCTACATATTTTAGGCGAACTTAATTTTTATATTCGACCGTGTACTTCCGATTTCTAAATTATATAAGTTGTTTCTAAACTATGTTCATGGTTTACGGTTCTGAAACTATGTTCATGGTGGACTCACTTGTGAACGCATGCGTTTTAGTATGAAATTGATTCACGAAAAATATTAGAGTTTCGCTTCAGAACAACTTTATTTCTATAGTCCATGAAGCATGGACTACCCTGCTTTCAACTTTTTTCTTCAATTTTTCATTCAAAAGAATGTACATTACGTATTTCTTTGAACGAGCATTTCTTAATGACCCATTTTTTCGCTTGAATAAATGCTATGTTAAATATTTATGTTATTCGAAATAGAAATACAGGAGCTGCTAAATTCAACGATATTTCCGCGTTAAAAATCATTGATTTGTAATTTTTGGAATAGCGTTTCGGAATGTGCTTGGGCAATGTCAATGTTTATACGACAGGCTAATTATAGAACGCACATGCAATCGAATTATGCCTAACCTCCATTCTTAAAAAGAGATGAACTAATGCTACTATAAGCTACTATAAATAAAAAGAACTGATGCGAATCTTTATTTACTTGTAATTATTTGGACCCAAATGATCAATATTTGCATAATAGAATTCTATTTTATTAAAAGAAACTCAAATTACGAACCATTTAAATATTTCTTTTAGAATGCGGTAGTTTGAATGCACTTTTTTCTATTCGCATGTGTCTTAAGTTTAAATATATTTTTTTATATTAACATATGATTCCAAATCTTATTTCTTGTATATATTTGCAATTTACAAAATCATTTATTTTAAGTTGTTTGTTGTATCACTTTACTAAAATAGTAAAAAGATCACTGCTTAGATTTCTTATAATTAATTTTCAATATCGTAGTAAATACATTGCATTTTTTATATTACAATACTCCGGTAAAATTTCAATTCGACCAAGGGCTATAACAACAGGACTTTGATCATAAATATATTTCATGGAGACCTCTCTTACTTTATCTGCTGTTATTTTCTGCAATTACAATAAAACTTATTTATTTTTTATTTAACAAAGAACAAAGTATTTGCCAGATAAATTTTTTACCTCATATTCTATGATTCTTTCATGTATTGGTATGTAACATCCATATCTTAATAAATGTCTGACAATATCAAGAAAATGATTTTCTGGATCATCCAATAACAATAACTCTTTGGTTTTATATTGATTCACAGCACGCAGTACCTCTTTCTGAGTTATTGTTGTACACAATCTCATCCATTCTTTTTGCAACATTGAAGCCATTGCCTACATAAACATTTTGATAATAAAAATCTTTACTGGTAGGAAAAGTCTTATATGTTTACATTATACCTCAAGAGCTAATTTGTGAGAAACAAAATAACATCCCCATATGCCGGTAGACTGTGCGAAATTGTGATAGAATGATTTGTACATGTAACACAAAGATGTATTGTAAGCAGCGTGTGCAATGTATGGCGCATTGTGCTGTGCTCCACCTAAATATGAATATGCAGATATTAAATCGTTCTTATTTAACAATTCCCACTAAAAATACACAATATTAACTCACTAGAAGTCATGTCCCAGCAACCTACAATTTCTTTAGCTATGGAAAGTACATAATGATCTGTACGTTGTTTAGAACCTGGTCCTTCTATGCCTATTGCTACATACCCTACTTCATGATCATCATCTCTATATCGTAATTCAGCACCTATAATATTTTATTTAAACACTATTTATACAACTGAAATCCCTTTCGCTTTTATTCACCTGAGAATCGATATTCAGTTTCTCTACAAAACGATTGCAATGAACTATCAGATCCGCTTTCACACATAAAACATCTGCAAATAATTGTTTCTAATTCTTGTAGACAAATAGGTCCAGTACAGACAATTGTCATATTACATGGCTTGAACAAACGGTCTTGAAATTTGATTAATTTGTCTTTACAAAATTTTCTGTAGAATTACAATTAATAAATGAACATAAAAAGTGTTTACCAAATAGTTTCTTGTATTTATGTTATTCTTTAGTATTAGCACTTACTTTATTACATCAGTTTCAGGGTATATACTATTTGCAAGTTCAGTGTCCTGATATGCAATAGTTGGTAAATAATCCATTACAACTCGTTCTTTGTCAAATTCCATTTGAGTAAGTTCATGTAAGATTACACATTTTTCTCTTGCAATATCTTGTTCACCTGAGATGTTAATAAATTTAGGGTGAGTCTTCTAACTTGCCCACCCAAAGTATGTCAATAAACTTTTTAATGGTTAATTCAGGTGAACAAATTAGACAAGTCGTACTGTGTATAATATACACAAATAAATCTCATATAGAGAGTTCAATGCAGAGCATTATTACTCAACCTACATATAACATTATTCATAATCACATCTCCAAATATGTTAACAAAATTAACTGTTTTGTTTGAAGGCACTGTTCCATAAAAGAGAAACATATCTCTCGCAGCAACAGTGGTGACTCTTGCGCCAATTTCTTCTATTGCTTTTGCCAATTCTTCTTCATTTCTGGACGTAGTTCTCTATGTTAAATACCTTTCTGTTTATAAATATTAAGCTACTTAAGAAGTTATATGGAAAGAGAATGCTAGTATGAAATGTTTATTGTATATATTGCAACAAAAATTATAGAATAATTGAATGAAATTAGAAGTGAATTTAATAACATTATAAGTGACATATTTATCATATATGTACTCTCTTACCCTGACAAGTAAATGCTTCAAGAATAATGCACTACCACGTTCTTCAGGCCTTTCATGCATTGCACCTGCTGGGAAGAAACATCCCAGGGTGGTGGTATAACAGCTTTTATTTTCACATACAAGACGTATACCATTACTGAAAGTACAATATTTTACTGCATTTTCTGTACTCATATACATATTTAAACCTATAGACATTTTTCCACATATGTTTTCATGGCCTTGAAACGTTTTGCAATATTTATTTGAAATAGTAATGTATCCCTTTAAAAAGTAATTAAATATGGCATTATCTTCAATTTAATCATTCTTTTTAATTAATTTAGAAAAATTAATGTAGCTCTTACTTTTCTAATGTGCTTCAATACTGTATTGATTTGCACACGATACAAATATTTCAAAAACGTTGTCATCTTTTAACATA